TCCACAAAACAGTCTTAGTGCAAATAGCAAGCAAGTAGTTAAAATTGTCTTTACATTAATATATAAAAGTTATACCACAATGACTCTGACGCTATTTACATTCTACAACGGGGCAAAATCCGATAAGGCAATTCGACAACGGGGCAAGCTACCACGCAGGTAATTAATAATAATAATAATAATAATAACAAGAACAAAAAAACACCATAAATACAAGTAACGCAACATGTACTACAAAGACAGGTCCATCCAATAAAGTTACACGCCCTAGCACATTTAAAAAACACAATACTCCTCAGAAACAACCCACTCGTATACAACCGAAGCGCAAAAACCTTAACAGCACCACAGGCTCACAAAATACTGCAATATCTCCTCCAAAAACCCAAGCAACCTCACAAATACGACCTCAGGAACAAATACCATAAATACAATTAAAAAACACAAAACTCCTTCTTCACAGAAACACACCACGTTATCACAACCCACTCGTATTCAACCCAAACGCAAAGCCAAAGAAACACTTACACAATAAACTCCATTTAATAAAATTACAGGAATTATTATAATGATTTTTTTTGTTTGTTTTGTTTTCCTCTTTCCTGATAGCGTTGGCTATTGTGCCCATCAATAGGTATGTTGGTAAGTACGAATTACATTATCCCTAGATGTCCAATGTACGTGTGTGATTTTTTTTTTTTTAAGGACCCTACATAACTTCACCAGACACAGACACAGACACTAATCGTTACTTGATTTTTAATCCCTGCGATTAGTTAACCAGGCTAGACCTGAGTTCTCACAAGAAACACCGACCATAATAATAATAATAACTTTATTGCCCAACAGTGTATAAACCAATTATGGACATATACAAAATACAACAAGTAAGTTAGACTTAAATAGCATAGACTTACAATTGAATAATTGAATAAGTGACGTAATTACACGTACGTAATTCCAAAGGAGAAGAGAACAAAACAAAATAATAAAAGATAAATGTTCTAAGAAAATTCTAATTATAAGGGTAACGAAAGAAATGTAGCAAGTGTTAAAGCTGGTTAATTATTGTTATTGAGAAAATGTTTAATACAGTTCCATGTAGCGTGGTTAATGTCACAAAATAAGGATACATTATTGTAGCGCTGACATGCAACATATATAGGGGAGACTAACATTAAGTTAGTGTTACTTCGAGGCAAGTAAAACGTTTGATCACTTTTGGAGACAAGTCGTGGCACACGCCATTGTATTCCATCAAGGAGACTAGAACAATCTATGAGATTGTGAAGTAGGTCGTATAAGAATTTAATTGATGTAGTAATACGTCTATGTTCCAACGAAAATAACTTAAAACGACTGAGCAATTGGTCGTGATTAAATCCCCTAGACGGGTATGTTCCATCAATCTTAAAGCTCACGAACTTCGGGTACTTCCTCTATGCTTACGAGCACGCGGACACCAGATTAAGGACGCATACTCCAACTTAGATCTAACAAATGAAAAACACAACGTGTTGAAGGCTTTGACATTGTGAAATGTCGAACAGTTCCTAAATATGAATCCTAGTAGTTTGCTAGCACTATCCACCACAGAGTTCCGATGATGCACAAATGTTAAGCTAGTGTCAAATATGACACCTAGGTCCTTGATAGAGTCACACCTCGTTAGATGTGTAGAGGCGAGCGTATATTTAAACAGAATATGACTCTTCTTCCGGGTGAACGTTACGACACGACATTTTACGACGTTCAGTTGAATGTTGTTGTCACCACACCATTTGTGGATTAATTCTAGTTGACTTTGTAAGAACTTGCAGTCATTGGTCGATTCAATAGGTGCGAATACCTTAAGGTCGTCTGCATACATCAGCTTGTGGGCAGCAATAGCTTCTAGTAGGTCATTAACGAAAACTATAAATAACAGCGGCCCTAGATTAGAGCCCTGTGGTACTCCAGAAGTAGCCATAAGGCTATCCGACATATGTCCATTATAAGTGATATACTGCAGACGGTTCGAAAGATAAGAATACAGCAGGTTTAGGAGAGGGTCGCTCAATCCGAGAACATCTAGTTTCCTGAGAAGTAGGTGATGATCCACTCAAATCAATCAAATCAAAAGCCTTGGAGAAGTCCGTGTATATAGTATCGATCTGCCCACGAGCATCTAGAATAGGTGCGACGACGTTCATAAATGAAGCTAAGTTGGATACCGTGGAGCGTTTTCTTATAAATCCATGCTGATGTGGTGAGATTCTTGTGGCTATGGCAGGATATAAGCGTGCATATAAAGTCATTTCGAAAACCTTGGCAAGGTTGCACAAAATGGAAATCGGGCGATAATTTTTTACATCGTCTGGAGCGCCGTTTTTTAATATTGGACAAATCTTGGAGTTTTTCCAGATAATATCAGGGAAAGTGCATGTTTTTAGGATTAGGTTAAAAATTGTCAGTAGAGGGGTAGAAAAAATTATTGCACAGTCTTTAAGTAGAAAGCTGGGAATATTGTCAAGGCCAAAGGTGTGGGAATTTTTTAATGACTTGAGTTGTTTTTCAATTTCATTCAAGGTGAATTGATTGAATTGTTTGTTGTTTATGCACTAGGAGTTATCGATGCGCTTTCGTGGATGCTTCGATGTGAAATGGTCTGGTTCCGCCCCAAGAAGAATTTTTACATTTTTGAAATCAGAAAAAAATGACACAAAAAGTAAAAATTACTTCTCTAAGAAAAAACAAAGTTGATGATGGATGACTGGAGACGAAACGTCAAACTTAAAATTTAAAAGTAGCATCTTGTAGAGGGAAAAAGGTCACCATTATAATGTATCATTTATTTCAAAATATCTTTTTAAATAACTTCAGTAAAAAATAAAAACGATTTTGCAAAATTTCGTTTTTTTTACAGATAGGTACCACGGAAAGTTAAGCATCAAAATACACAACTTTTCCACATTCAAACTACCTACCTATCCCTTACAGTTCCCGAGATCCCCATATGGTGGCCCACGGATTTGAATCAGCCTATATAGTCAATTTTAAAGATAGATCAAAAGCTTTTTTTATACTTTTCATAGATTTTTCAAAGCATCTTCAGAGATTAAAAATGCTCCAGAGGATTTTCCAAGTGTCTTGAAAGATATCTCCTCATTTTTTTGGGGCCTCAAATGTATGTATGGATAATTTCCGAAACACAAGCCAGCACAATTTGTTTTGACTTCATTTAACGAACTAAGTCAATGTTTCTGTCAGAAGCGCAATTCAGCTTAACCTTGAGCTTTTTAAGTTAAAGACTTGCCATCTTATGTAAGACGTTTTACATTTCCATGCAATGTTTAGTAAAAATTACTGCACGTTAATCGAACAATTCACAAGAACTTTACTTAGCTCAATGTAGCACAAATAGACCCAGTAGCAAGGGGGCGAATTTTCAGGGAAGAATCTTTCCAGGTCGAGTTTTTCCGGTGCGAATCGTCCTACAATCATTGACCGTGTTAATCGATTAATTTTCTTAAATTGGAACAGTACATGTTGAGGACCCTGTATCGGTTCAAACCATTTTACAGAGGTTTCAGCTATTTACAATTTCACTTATAGAATTTATACGGAATTGGTATGAGCCTAGAAAATTCAAAAATATGCGATAACTTATGAACCCGAATGGTACAGTGTGCGTTTCTTCCCAGCCTATAAATAATTTTAGAGCCTTAAAAAAACAAAACCACCTCATGCAGATGTATCAAATTTTAACTTCAATTGTCAATTGAAGATTTCTTACACAATTTCACAATTTGCTCTAAAATTTAATTCAATTTGATCGAATTTTTTTGCCTAGGCCCACAACGGTTTCAGCCGAGTTCCTTAGGATGTCACTGTTCTCGTTTATACATACATCTTGATTGTCAATCGAGATTGTTTTACAAAAAGTATTAGGATTATGGTTTGGTAGTTACCATTGTTTTTATTGATATTACAGCCAATCCAATCGCTCGAAGAATCAGGCAACGCCATCTGAACTGATGATAACATAAATGCTAAAATGTTATACAATTTTGGCGAGTTCCTTAGGATGTTATCGGTGGTGAGGAAAACAAAAAAATGCATACTTTTTGTATCGTTCGAGTTCTGAAATAATAGTATATTAAGATACAAGTGTATAATCAAGTCTTTAAAGCACGCGCAACGAGTTTAAGGGCACGACGCAAAGCAGAGTGCCTTTAACGTTGCAAGTGCTTTAAAGACCAATTATACACGTGTATCTTATAGTATTTTTTATTATACGTGCAGTATAATTTAAAAATAGGAAATACAAGGAAATCATATTAACGTTATACTCGAATGCATGTTTAATAGTGGGCTGGGTGTTCGAAATTTCACGATTGCCATGGAAATGTCACTTGACGTTTGCTTATAAAAATCATCGTCTTTGTAAATAAAACGATTTCCGTTGGAAAAGATAATACATCGTCCATTAAATCGCTTGTTGTAAAATCTAAACAAACGTTGGTAGGTGTAAAATCCAAATCCAGTAAAGCCTATTATAAAGAATATGAAAAGTTGTTTCCATGGATGAATAGGAAGTTACTTACGAATAAAGTCTTAAATGCATCGATAATGCTGGGATATATGAAGGAAATGTGAAAGGTATTTAAATCTCCTATCTTTTGGTGCATTAACTCAAAACTTCAAACAATGCTGCGATTAAAAAGTGGAACAGATTTGGAAGCATACCCTAAATTACGCGCGTTTGTGAAACCTTCAAGCAAAGGATAGGTACAAGCCAAAGAAATGTTCTGCATTTACAGAAAGCGACCTAAGAGGATTTTTTTATTTCAGCCCCAGATGACAGTTTCAAAAGTTATACTTGAAGTATCGTTACTTAGCAACTTTAAAGCACATGTGTGTTAAAGGCCTTTTTTCGCACGCATTTGAGTATTTAAAACGGAGATTGTGATTCAAGTATAATAAAAAATTGATTTTTAATACCTTTATTAACCCGTAGTTCTAGTATTACATTATTTATCAACGATTATAGCGAATGCGCAAATATACCCACAATTTGTTTCAAGAGTCTCGTTCCTCTACAGACCGCAGACTGCTCTTATTATCGTTTTTGACGAAATGATCTTCAATTTCCAAAAAGGTTTTTTGACGAGTTTCCACGACCCAACTGTAAATATATGCGCATGCTATTAGCGAAGAAAATGACATAAAGTACATGATATGAGAGTGCTTTACAACCTTTTTGATCGCGTAATAGGACTGTATGGCAAAAAACTCGAGCATGTGGCCTAAGATGCTTGAGAGCGACTGGCCTGTTCCACGTATGTGAGTGGGGTAAATTGATGGAGTAATTACGACAGCAACAGAATATGGACCCGCTACTATTGAACTAGTATACAATAGCAATGCGCATAGTGGAATCCATTGGTAGATGGATGTGCCTAAAAGTAAAAGTAATACCCTCACTTTATAGACAGTTGGAAAACCTTTTGGATTGAAGTCCATGTATAGTCCGAAAGTTAGCAGGCACCCGGAGATAATTAGGTAACTTGCGATTAAAATCAATCGAAACCTAAAGGTTTTTAACAACCAGGTGTTACAAAATGTCATGACCAACTTAGTCAATCCTAAATAAATGCCAACAGCGTACGGATTTATCGTAGTACTGAAACCCTGAAACAGAAGCTTACGTTTTCAATTTTTGGAGTACAATCTACTTACATTGAAGAAAATTATAATGTTGCTAAACACTATAATTGATCCTGCAAGGGTGTGGAAGAAGTCTAAACCAGCAACCATGAGTACTCTCTTGTACCCGGAGGGTTGAAGGAAGAATTTCATTTGCTGAAGTAGGTTTAAATTAGTTGATCGATATCGATCGTGGAGTGTTTGGATCATAAGTAGCTTACGATCAATCACGCTTTCAAACTAGAAAAAAAACTGTACACCGCAAACGTAGAGCAATTTGGTTACGTTTTCATCTTTTGATGTGCTTCGATATCGATTAAAATACACCAGCGACTTCTTTGCTTCGTCAAAACGTCCTCTAGTTACAAGCCACAGCATACTCTCTTTAAGTAACAGTGATAGAATCAGCGGTCCAAGTGGCAATAAGCAGTTTATCCAAGCTATAGTTCGCCAATGAAGAAAAGCACCTAGTAAAAACGTGGCCATGCTTCCCAAACCCCAGAAGATGGTTTTAAGGTTTACCAGCATACCTCTTACGCTAGGTGAACTAATTTCGGTAATATACGTGACGGCAGTGATCACTAGCCATGCTGCAACACCTGAGTAAGTGCTAGTTCTATGATGAAGGAACAATTACGAAAAGAGAAAATTAAAATCGTGTATCCTGTCCCAATTATCAGGAAACTCGACGCATTCGCGATTATTAACCATCCAATTGACCATGGCAACATCGCAACTCTCAGCGTGTTTAACCTCCCGATATGGTCTATAACTAATCCCGCCAGAATGCAGCCTAGCGGCTTAACTATTGAACCAATAGATACTAAAATTCTCCATTTGGTACTATTCAAATAAACTGTGATACTTACACAACCATGATTTCTCGTTGTCGCTCATAGTGAACGATTCCTCAACCTGCGTGTCGTTAGTTTTAGAAAAATAAGGAATCAAGATTGATAAGTAACTGAGTTCCAGACCATTTAAAAAACAAAACGACGCGACTGCAATTGACGAAAGGATCTGTGAGGAAAATTGGCATTAATAACACATGGTGCTTTTAAGGATGCGATTACCTGCGGCAGGAAATAAAGGCGCATTCTGTAAGCGATTTTAGATGAAAAGCCCCTGGTCGAATGCTGCACTCAGACCACTTTCTCCTAGACTTTCTCCGTACAAAAAAGACTTTGTGGAGTATAGTTTTGTATATGAATTATGAGTGGTGCTGAAAAATACAAAATATCAAGAGTTTTGGGTTTCGAGCGCCAATTAGAGCGCCAAAGAGGATTTTCAGTTAGCCTTCTTTGATTATTTTCTACGCACGAAACAGGGTATAACATTAACTTCTCCAACTAACGTTGGATTTGATCCAAGATAGATGAACAATCGGCACAACTTAGATATTGAGAAGAGTGAAGAAGATACGGCAACGTGTGAAAACTAAATCTGTTGCTTCACATGAATGTCAAAGGTAGGAATGTGCATTGATAATGCAGTTAATGAGAATAGTCATCGCTATGAGAGCTGAAACCACATGATTTTAGTGTTTTTTATAACTAAAGTTAACTGTAATTTTGCCAATTTAAAATAGATAATTTTGTTTTTGCCTCTGAAAATGCTATTACGATATCGTATACTTACAGTCTTCACTATGATGTAGCACTATTACGACTATGCGAGACCTCGTGAAAAATAAGAAAGTAGAGCAGCAAATCACTGATTTGAGAATCACAAAACCGCACAATTGATTACCTAATTTCTCATTTTACTACTTTGTAAAGATTTCGCTATCAGAGATAGACTATATAAACAATAAATTAGTGATAATTATCATAAACTTTCTTAGAGCTTATTTGCATGTTCTTGAAGCTAAGTGTGCCAGTTAGATCATTTCGCCTCTGCATTCGTTATCATTAATTCTCGATAGAGGTCTAAATACCCGATAATGCTCAATGGCGGCCACTGATATTTAATACTAGCTTTGGATTTCAATAAGCGATCCCTAATTTATGACAAAGAAACTGGACGATAGATTCTCAAAAAACGCCACTACTTCTAGAGACCCCTCACTTAGATTAAAAACGCAAGCAACAAATTTAGATTTTGTGATTTTTTGGTCGACCAGTACTTTCAAACAAAACTACACTCAAATCAAAAGACCACGCTTCCTCCAATCATGTAACTGCACCCACCCAAATAAAATGACCAATAATGAAAAAAAAAACACCCTTTTGGGCTGGCGTGAACGCTAGTGTGGAAATATAAGAAAATTGTGGAAGGCAATGGTACAAGTTACTTCTTAGCAATTTCCTAGCAATTTTGCCTTTCCGTAAACCCTCTACAGAATCTTCTTACCATTTCGTTTCAAAAGCTTGGCTGAAACCTGCCTTTACGAATCTTCTTCGGATTCTTTTGGTGATGTTCCTGGAAAGTCAAGTTTTTCTGTAAATCCTACCATTTGTTCTTACAAATCCTTTTAAGGGCCTTCTCCTCTACGTATTTTTTCTTGAAATTGGTCATCTTAGGAGACATTTTTTTAGCACCCTTTTGGTTTTTGCAGTCATCTCTTTTGATTTATTCGTTGCGGACTAAGACCTTCGAAACACCAGTTTGTGGTTTTTTATCTTCCATCCCTAAAATAAAACATATTCCTAAATCAAGCATTATTCAACGCTTATACAGGGTGTTACATGACCGTGTGTAAAAAAATTGGATGGCACTTTTTACAAACAAACCGAAGGTCCAACGTGTTTCGTTTGGGAGCCACCCACAAAGAAGTCGTGAAATTTGGATTTCCTCTTTAATCTTTTTCTCAGCAACCATAAGAGTTACAAAGATTGGTGGCACGTCTTTGAATAGGTTGTCGGGTAAGTTATCCGATTTTGAACAAAATATTTCAAAATTCCTGCCACGAAAGGGCGCACCCCTGGTTGGGGGTGCGAAAAAAATTTTGATTTCGACGAAATTTGGTATCTGGGGGTTTTTGAACATGAAAATCACGAATCCGAAATTAGTTTTTGAAAACTCGAAGAAAAAGTTCCACTGCAATTCTTGGCCGGACAACTTTTCTAACAAAAGTTATACTCCTTTGAACATTGGTCCTTCGGGTTACGAAGTGTCGCCCGCCTACTAGTGAGTGATCTAATTTCGCATGTAGTTAATTGTAAATGTTGCAAATAAAAAAAAATAACTCAGTTTCGCTATGGTACCTAAATACAATAGTATAGTGCAACAACCATAAAGTGACTAATACCGCCGTAAACAGTCATCTTCTTTGGTAGGTATACTGTCAACCCACTAATTCATTTATTTATTTATTATCCCTCTCTTGAACGTGAATTTTAGTTGGAGCGAGTTTCTGGCGAAAGAGTAGTCCGCAGGGTCTTCCGGTGGCAAATTTTCAAGGACAAATCTTCCACAGTCGAGTCTTCCGGGAGCGAATTTACCGTGGCGATTTTCCCGGCACGAATCTTCTTACAATCATCGAGCAAATGGGAGCACTACCTTTTGTTGCTGTGCTGTGTCACTTGGTCTGTTCATTTCCAAAAATACTTTCTTCTGAAGAATGGTATTGACTAAACTTGTGGTAAAAGATCCTCTATGGTAACTTTGATGATAATGCATCTAATAAGTCAAAATATGGTAGTTGAACTATCTCTCCGATGGTCAATCTCCTTGTAAACTTTGTACTGAATTATTGATCTAAAATTTTTGGTAAACATTTGCCTTTGTTGAAAATAGCTTGAAGGCTTGGAATAGTCACGTCCAACACCTTTTGTTGGTGTTATCGACAAACTTTGAGCTAAATTTCGACTTATAACTCGTAATTTTAATATGTCAATCTAATACAATATTTTAGTCCCAGAACTTGATATTGTCTCATTTTTTATTCATTGATATTATACAGAAATTCTTCAACTTACAATCGCGATCGTTTTTTAAATACAACAGATTTTCAATAAAATCTTTGGTATTATAAAAATGTAATCCATATCCCCTCTACATTTAAGAACTTTATTGGAAGTTTAGAACTTCAGATTCAGATACGGGATATGATTAATAAAGTATTTCAAATGGTATATTAAGAGACAACTGCATAATCAAGTCTTTAAAACGCGCGAAGGAGTTTAATGGCACGACGCGCAGCGGAGTGTCTTTAAAAGTTGTAAGTGTTTTAAAGAACAAAATTATATACATGTTTCTTATAGTATTTTTTATTACACTTGCAATATAATTAAAAGTAAAGGAAATAAAATAAAATCATATTGACGTTATACTCGTATACAAATTGAGTTGTAAATAAATTGACTTTGGTTGTAAAGATAATACACCGTCCATTCAATGGCGTCCAAATCCAGCAAAGCCTATTATAAAGAATATGAATAGTTGTCTTAAATGCATCGATGAAGGAAATGTAAAAGGTACATAAAAAACTGTTATATTACGCGTAACTTACAAGAGGTCGGTTTTTTATGTAATTTATGCCTTTTATTCTTCTTATTCCAAACGACGCGTGATGGTGAAATACCTACTGCTTGGGTATTTTATTTAATACACCAAAATATATAATTTAACATTTGGTACTATTCAGATAAACTGTGATACTTACACAACCATGATTTCTGATTGTCGCTCATAGCGAACGATTGCTCAACCTGCGTGTCGTTAGTTTTAGAAAAATACGGAATCAAGATTGATAAATAAGTGAGTTCCGGTCCATTTAAAAAACAAAACGACGCGACTGCAGTTGACGAAAAGATCTGTGGGGAAAATTGGCATTAATATCACATGTTGCTTTTAAGGATGCGATTACCTGCGGCAGGAAATAAAGGCGCATTCTGTAAGCGATTTTAGATGAAAATCCCCTGGGCAATCTTTCACTATTTATGGTGAACTCACTTTCTCCTTGCAAAAAAATGAACAGTCGATTCACTTACTTTGTGTTCCACGAAGTAGCGTTATTGAGTGAAACTCTAAATTTGCGGGGTATAGTTTTGTATATGAATTATAACTGGTGCTGAAAAATTCAAAAATAAATTTAAAAAATAGAACAATATCAAGTTTTGGGTTCCGACCACCAACTGAAGCGCCAAAGAAGATTTTCAGTTAGCCTTCTTTGATTATTACAACATTAACTTCTCCAATTAACGTTGGATTTGATCCAAAAAATATACAAGCGACACACCTTAGATCTTGAGAAGGGTGAAGAAGATAAGCCAACGTGTGAAAACTGAATCAATGTTTTTTCACATTACATTGATGATGGAGTTAATGAGTTATGTCTTCACTATGATGTAGCACTGTTACGAGTATGCGGGACCTAGTAAAAAATAAGGTAGTAGAGCGGTAAACAAATGATTTGCGAATCACAAAACCGCACATTTGATTACCTAATTTCTCGTTTAACCACTTTTAAAATATTTCGCTATCATCAGTGATAGACTATATAAACAAGAAATAAGTGACAATTACCATGAACTTTCTTAGATGTCATTTTGATTTTCTTGAAACTAAGAGTGATGTGGTGCCAGATCTGGAGAGATAGCTGTGAACGACGGCCACTCATACTCACCTCTGCACCCTAAAATTCAGAATCAACTTTTATGACTAGATCGGCCGACGGTTAACGGTGCCAAATTTCGTCCATTTCATAAGCTTTAGATAAACAGTCATCAGGAAGCATTGGCTAAAAAAGCATTAATTAAAATGAATACTTTGAGCCGATGATGATAACCAAACCTGCCCGTCGACATACGCGATCAACGCGAAGGTGTTGTATCATTGTCTTGCTATAAACAAAATGATACGTAATGAAAAAATCGCCGTTTTGAGCTCGCGTGAACGCTAGGAAGTGGTGGAAATTATAGGAGGATGGTGGAAGGCGTTCGTACAAAATGACTTCTTAAACTCTTTTGGAGGTTTTACTAACAATTTTGCTATAAGCCTTTTCGTAAACCCTCCACAGAATCTTCTAACCAACTCGTTTCAAAAAATATTCAGTAATTCGTCTATGTGTCTCAGTGGTAGAGCGTTGGGCTACATAGCCAGAGGACGGGTGTTCGAATCTGGGCTGAGGTAAGAATTTTTCATCTGTGACAGAGATGGAAATTTTCTTAGATCAGTTTCAGACATTCTACCGGCTACTCGCAATTAGGTTTTCCAGCAGCTATAAGCCTTTTCGTAAACCCTCCACAGAATCTTCTAACCAACTCGTTTCAAAAAATATTCAGTAATTCGTCTATGTGTCTCAGTGGTAGAGCGTTGGGCTACATAGCCAGAGGACGGGTGTTCGAATCTGGGCTGAGGTAAGAATTTTTCATCTGTGACAGAGATGGAAATTTTCTTAGATCAGTTTCAGACATTCTACCGGCTACTCGCAATTAGGTTTTCCAGCAGTTTTCCTAATTCTTAAGGTAAATACCGGAGTAGTATAGAACAACTTAGGACCTTCTGCATGGGCACCTCTAAAAAGGATTATGCGGGTCACACTGTAATTGGGCGCAAGGCTGTTGACAGCCCAGAACAAGAGGATATAAATAAATAAAGCTTGGTTGAAACCTTCTTTTACGAATCTTCTTTGGAATTTTTTAGCGACGCTCTTCAAAATCTTCGAAATTTTTCTGTAAATCCCACCCTTGTTCTTACAAATACTTTTAAGAGCCTTCTTTTTTCCTAATTATCTTGAAGGTCATCTTAGGAGACATTTTTTAGCATCCTTGTGGTTGTTGCAAACATTTAACATCTCATTTGATTTATCCGTGACGGACTAAGATCTTTCAAACTACAGCTTGCGACTTTATCTTCCATTCCTCAAATATATTCCTAAATCAACCATATTCAACGCTTATAAAAGCTGTTTCACGCAAAACGTTACCTAGAAGTATTTAGACTTCCATTAATAATTTAAATCTAAAAATTCGCATACCAACCAGTTTTTCATGATCTATCGAAAGAAAATATTGTCATGATCGTTTCACTTCCGGTTTTCCAAGATGTGGATAGCAACTTTCTTATTTTAAATAGAACACCCTATACTTTATTGCATTTTCGAAATCCACATGAAAATTTACGTTGTTTCATACCAAATTTCCCTATACCCAGCATCAAAGATTCATATTGATTTTAAAAGACTTTTTAAAATTCAAATCAACGGAGCCATAGGTACAGGGCGCTGAAGAAAAGCAATCAAACGTCAAAAATTTTAAAAAATGTTGCATAACTTGAAAACCTTTGATACTTGGGTATAGGTGGTATCAAACGACGTAGATTTTCATGTAGATTTCGAAAATGCAATAAAATATAGGGAGTTTTGTTTAAAATAAGGAAGTTGCTATCCATACCCGGTAAAACCGGAAGTGAAAGGATCATGGTAATATTTTCTTCCGATAGATCATGAAAATCTATGTTCTTATGCACATTTTCAAATTTAAATTATTAACGGGAGTCTTACTTTTAGGTAAGGTTTTGCGTGAAACAATCTGTATATTGTTGTTTTGCTTTTGAAATTGGAACATGGTTATGTTTAATGGTTAATTAAAGTCATTAAAATTGTTCTCCTTGTTTAATGTCGTTAGGTTCAAGTACGTCTTAACAACAAAACAATTAAATAAACAAGTCTCAATTAAACAAATTATAAAGCGAATAATTAAACAAAACGTGTGGTAACAAAATTAATTAAAGTAATAGGTTGTGTACGATAATATACCTCTCTACGCCTTTCTCTCCATCAGTGCTTTCCAAAAACTTTCTTATCGTAATGGGAATTGTGGGGGGAACCACTGTATAGCTAGAGTTAAAATATATACTCATTGCATTAAATAAGCCTTTTTTAAAAATAGCTAGAAACCTTGGAAGAGTCACGCTCAACACCTTTTTTTTATGTTATCGACAAACTTCGAGTAATTTTAATATATATCGACCTACAACAATTTTTAGTCCCAGAACTTGATATTATACCAAAGATTTCGATATACAATCTCAATCTCAAATTCTAAAATATGCATTGCACTCGAACCATACAGTTTCTTCCGGCTTTGTATCTAATTTTAGGGCCTTTTAAAAACAAATTGTCAATTGAAGCTTTCTTTACACGAATTCATAAGTTGTTCCAAAATGAGCGAGTTCCTTAGGACTATTCTCTCGTATCCATCTTGACTATTAATCAACATTTATACTTTACTAAAAGTACTAGGATTAAGGTGTATTAATTAATATCAGTTTTTATTGATATTACAGCTCAAAAGAGTTACCAACACTTTACTATTGCCAATGCGCAAATAAGCCCTTTGTTCTATATCATATACGTAACGTTTTATTTTTCAAGACAGGGGTCTTGTTCCTCTAGAGACCGTGGATTACTCTTATTATCCTTTTTGACGAAATAATTTTCAATTTCCAAAAAGGTTTTTTGACGAGTTTCCACCACCCAACTGTAAATGTACACGCATGCTATGAGCGAAGAAAATGACATAAAGTAAAGGATATGAGATTGCTTCACACCCTTTTTAATCGCGTAATAGGATTGTATCATGAAAAACTCGAGCATGTGGCCGATAATGCTTGAGACTGACTGGCCTGTTCCACGTATGTGAGTAGGGTAAACTGATGGCGTAAGTACGACCGGAACAGAGTATGGACCCACTACCATTGAATTGCTATACAATATCAATGCACACAATGGTATCCATTGGTAGATGGATGAGTCTGAAAGTAACAGTAATACTTTTACTTTGTAGACAGTTGGCAAACCTTTTGGATTGAAGTCAATGTATAGTCCGAAAGCTACCAGACATCCAGAGATAATTAGATAGCTTGCAATCAAGATTATTCGAAATCTAAATGTTTTCAATAACCAGATGTTGCAAAATGTAATAACCAACTTAGTTAATCCTAAATAAATGCCAACCGCGTATGGATTTATCGTAGTACCGAATTCCTGCAATAGAAGTTCATCTGATAAATGTTTGGAGTAGCTATAACCTACTTACGTTGAAGAAAACCATAATATTGCTAAACACTATAATTGATCCTGAAAGGTTTTGGAAAAACTCTAAACCCGCAACCATGAGTACTCTCTTATATCCGGACGGTTGAAGAAAAAATTTCAATTTCTGAAGTAGGCTTAAATTAATTGATCGATAGCGGTCGTGGAGTGTTTGGATCATAAGTAGCTTACGATCAATCACGCAATCAAACTAGAAAAAAAAACTTTACACCGCGAAGGTAGAACAATTTGGTTACGTTTTCATCCCTTGATGTTTTTCGATATCGATTAAAGTATACTAGCGACTTCTTTGCGTCTTCAAAACGTCCTCTCGTTACAAGCCACAGCATACTCTCTTTAAGTAACAGTGATAGAAACAGCGGTGCAAGTGGTAATAAGCAGTTTATCCAAGCTATAGTTCGCCAATGTAGAAAAGCACCTAGTAGAAACATGGCCATGCTTCCCAAACACCAGAAGATAGTTTTAAGGTTTACCAGCATACCTCTTACGCTAGGTGAACTAATTTCGGTAATGTACGTGACGGCAGTGATCAGTAGCCATGCTGCAACACATAAATAAGTGCTAATTCAATGATTGAAGAAATTATTACGAAAAGAAAAAATTGTAATTGTGAATCCAGCCGCAATCATTAGGAAACTCGAAGCTTTCGCGATTAATAACCATCCAATTGACCATGGCAACACCGCAACTCTCAGCGTGTTTAACCTCCCGATATGGTCCATAACTAATCCCGCCAGGACGCAGCCTAGCGGCTTAACAATTGGACCGATAGATACTAAAATTAATTGTCCATTTAGTACTATTTGGATCGACTGTGGCCGATACTTACACAACCATGATTTTTCGTTGTCACTCATAGCGAACGAGTTTTCAACCCGCGTGTCGTTATTAGTAAAATAAGGAATCAAGATCGATAAGTAACTGAGTTCGAGTCCATTTAAAAAACAAAACGTCGCGACTGCAATTGACGAAAGGATCTGCGAGGAAAATTGGCATTAATAACATTTTGGTGTTTTTAACCATATATGATTAGGTACCTGCGGCAAGAAATAAAGGCGCATTCTGTAAGTGATTTTAAATGAAAAGCCCCTGGTCAATTTTTCACCATTTATGCTGCACTCAGGCCATCTTCTCCATGCAAAACGTGAACCGTCAATTCACTTACCTTTTAGTTACACAAAGTAGCCGAGAGAAACTAAATTTGTCGGCTAATTATGACTGGTGCTGAAAGATTAAATAAATAAAAAAATAAAACACTAAAGAGGACTTTATGTTAAAATACAATAAAATAACTAAATAAAATTAAATCCTATAACACTATATTCACCCTTTAGTCTTTGGAAGTCTTTGAGAAGAGTAAAGAATATAAGCCACAAATGCATCTGTCGCGGAAATGCCTGCATATGAATGTGAAAGACAATGGTAATAGAATTAATGAGAATAGTAAGTAATTATGACATGTGAGCCCACATGATTTTTAGAGTTTCTAAAACGAACTGTAATTTTGCCAATTTAATTAATTTTGAGTCTCCTGCTTATACTTAAAGTGTTCACTGTAAAACTATTAGTGTGCAATGCCTAGAGGCGGTAAATATATCATTTGATAACGACAAACAGTGTACAATTTATTACCTAATTACTCATTTACATGAAATTTGTGCAGCTAATTAAAGTATCATCATGTAGATATAAATATGTTTGCTATATTCCTTCGCCTTATTTTATGTTATCAGACATTTTTGTTTGATTTATATTATTACTCATTATCTTTGTTTTGCATTTCAAGAGTTTAATTAGGTGCAATAGCAGTTTATAAAGTACTTCTCCTTGTGGTTAAGTGCAATTAATTATTTTTTTTTTAACTTCATGCTTTTATTAATTTAATGAGAACCAAATAATAAAACAAAATTATAATAACAAGAACAATTTTTTTTAAATCTATTTATTTCCTTCCAGTGACTTTCATGTTGATGCCATGGCTCTACTATTTGTATTTTCTTAGATATTATATACAGGGTGTTCATTTTTTCCCCACTACGAATTTATTGAAAACAACTGATTAAAGGAAAAAACGCCGAGACAGGTCAAAAGATTTGTCAAGGGGGGCAACTTTTTAACCAAAAACTACTTCACCTCCTTTCACCCTCTGCCCACCAGAGTATTATCAAGTAATAACTTGTTTGAAAGGTCTTTCAAAGTCATTTATTTTGACGTTTGATTTTTTATAATCGGTCGATTCGGTTTCGAGAAAATTAGAGAAATCTTTATTCATCTTATTTTGTTCCGATAGAAAACAAAAACAAACGAAAATATCATGTTTTATTTCAATAAGTGTTCAAAATGTTGCCCGGTATTTGCCAAACAATGATATAGGCGATGCGATGTTCAAATTCGTGACGGACATTTTCAAAATCATAGGGATATCATGGCAGCTTTCGATGATACGTTGACGAAGTTCATCCAAACCTTCAGGTTGGGGAGTAAACACAATAGATTTCAAATGGGTCCGTAGAAAAGAGTCTAATGGCGTCAAATCGGAAGATCTAGCAGACCATTCTATACTCCCTTTTCGCCCTATCCATTTATCTATCAGGTCGTTTAAATAAATTAAATAAAGATTTTTCTAATTCTCTCGAAAACGAATCGACCGTTTTTAAAAAATAAAAAAAGTTTCTCTATGGAGTGACATAAAAGTCCAATATGGCGTCCAATTAAAATAAAGAAGTTGATGTCAATATCTCGAAAACCGCCAATTTGCAAATTTTTTTTCGACGCCCATTGAACTCATCCCACCGATTCGTGCAACTTTTATTTGAAACTTCTTTCCACAGCTCACTTTATTACTAAAATATCTGAACTTTTTAAAAATGGAAATTTTCACATTTTTGCAATTATCTACGGAATGATTTTTTTTCAAAATAGCGCATCGGAGTATCCATTCGCATCAAAAACTACATAACTTTGTCTCTTCTCTGCAGAGCAAAGGTGTCTGTCTCTCTGTGTCAAAATTATCCCATATCAATATGCCATAATATGTATCAGCGCCGTTACTAATTGGCTTTGAAATATTGTCAGTCAGTCTTCGTAAAACATATATATTGAAACTGATTCATTTACATATATGATGTCTTAAAGCTTTCCCGTTTCGAAAAAATGTTTAATTTGAGTCATCTGCGTAGAGAATACAGTCGACATATGGCTTTATATATTGGGGAAAGTCTTTGGCTTTGCAATAAATTAACAAGTTTAAAAGTAATCGTAAACGATTTACATAAAGCGCATTTCCACTTGCATTCATTTCCCATTTGTAAGATGCAACTTCTGTTAAAATCGTAAAAATCCGGCCACAAATATGAAAGATAGCGTTCAATTTCAGTTTATGAGAAGAATTTCATTTCAATGCTTTTCTAAATAAGAAAGTTGGAACTGCGCATGCGCAAACCTAAATTTTGAAACTAATGTTAGATTTTTCTTTGTTCCAAGCGCCTAAGTATCAAATTTCACTTAAATGCTTCCATAGATAAAAAAGTTGGCACTGCGCATGCGCAAAATAAAATTTTGAAACTGGCGCTAGATTTTCCTTTATTCCAAGCACCTATGTATCAAATTTCATTTAAATGCTTCCATAAATAAAAAAATTGACACTGCGCATGCGCGAAACCAAATTTTGAAACTGGCGTTAGATTTTCCTTTATTCCATGTGCCTATGTATCAAATTTCGCTTAAATTCTTCCATAAATAAAAAAGTTGGCACTGCGCATGCGCAAAACCAAATTTTGAAATTGGCGTTTGATTTTCCTTTATTCCAGTGCTTATGTATCAAATTTCGTTTAAATTCTTCTATAAATAAAAAAGTTGGCACTGCGCATGCGCAAAACCAAATTTTGAAATTGGCGTTTGATTTTCCTTTATTCCAAGTGCCTATGTATCAAATTTCATTCAAATACTTTTATAAAAAAAAGTTTGCAATTCGGTTTATAAATGGTCGAGATGCGAAAAGGGCACTGTGAATTTTGAATCGATTCGACTCAACTTTTGGCATTGCGTATTATATGGCTAAAGCTATGCCCATATTGAATTTCATGCAATTTAGTTAATAACTAACGGAGATGTAAAAGCGATCGGACATTTCTAAACAAAGTTATCGTTCACAGGGACAGATACAGGGCCAGACAGACAAAGGAACAGACGGACAGACCAACAGACAGACGACAGACAGCAATACAAAATTATAAACGATCTCTAGGATCGTTAATAAACGGCAAAAGTGTAAAATTATGGAACATGTAAAAAACGGTAGATAAAGAACTAGTAGCGTCGCAAAACGAGAGGACGGACGGACGGACGGACGAACGGACAAAGTGGCCACAATAGCGCATTTTTTTTATTTTTGTGGAAATGCGCTAAAAAGGAGAACGGTCCTGGTATGGATCCCCGCGAAACCCCTCGTTTGGTATATCGCTAATGGGACATGATATTTTCATTAATAAGGCATTGAGATCTGTCAGAAAAATATTCCAATAAGTTTTAAACTATTTTGTTCGAAATTATAACTCCGCTTTAGTTTAGTAAGTAATACGTTATGCGAGACACTATCAAATTGCTACTGAATAAAGGCTCAACGATAAAGGCCTTCTTCAAAACAAGGGAGGGCGATATTTACAAATGAGTGTGCTTTGTACTTTTCTGAACCCGTATATTGGTCATTACTCATTATATGTATGTACATATAAGAGTTATGTACAATGAAGTACTTTTTCAAAGATTTTTGAAAAAATAGGCGGCATCGATATTAACCTGTAGTTTTTGTAGTTTTGAGTAGTATCTCCTGAAAAACAGGAAGAACTAAAGCTACTTTAATCCTTGCGGGAAATATCTCGACATTGTTGAAATGTTAATTAATTTAGTTAATGAAAAGTGACCAACTGGTTGGTATTACTTTTAATAATGGCCGATACTACCTTTGTCTCCTCCCTTCTCGCAGGCATAATAGTGGAACTCTTTCCTCCCCTGAGCGGGTTAAAACAAATAGAAACACTCTCTGGTGGAATAATGAGCTAGGAAAGCTTAAGAAAATCACCAGAAGAGTCTTTAACAAAACCAAGAGCACTGAGATGACTATAGAACGTCCCTCACCGAGTAGAGTAAGGCGATTCGGAAGGCACAGAGAGCGTCTTAAGAAAGATTCTGTCAGACGATAGAAGAAATTCGTCTACGGAAGGTCCGCTCAAAAGAGATGAACAACCCGTTAGGAACGATGGTGGGACCAGATGGTGAACGCAAAAGCTCAACTAGAGAGACGTTAGAGCTCGTGATACGAACCCATTTCCCGGGCTTGAGCAGACGGAGGACAAGAAGGCCTTCATCTTCCCATCCAGCAAACAAATTTGACTACGGTCTCAGTTACCGTATATACACACAAAATAGGGTCCGTTGGACGATAGGCTTCCCTCAGCGTGATATATCATATCAGAGTTGGAATTCTCCCCATTCTCCTTATAAAAGGGACTGGAACATTAACGCCCATTCCAGTAGAACTTTTTAGGGAGAGTTACTCCTTAAAACGATGGAGAAGATGGTAGGTAAGGGAAATGCATAAGGGAAGAGTTCCTTAAGAAAAAAAAAACCTACACACCAACCCTCGCATACCAAAAGGGACGGTCGACTGAGACCGCCCTTCACAACCTCATCAATCGACCTTAGTCTGCTTCATAGACATTGAGGGGGCATTGAACTGCTAAACTAAACAGGCTGCACTAAAGCCAGAGCTGCCATGGAGGCCTTGCTGGGCCTCCTCCCTTTTCACTTAGTGGTGCAGAAAGAAGCAGCGAGGAGAGCAATTGGATTGCTCCGAAGTGAGGTGGGAGGAATACACAAAGGTGCAAAACACTTAGGAGTGGAACAACAAATCAAAGAAACTGATCGGTTCCAGAAAACCAAAACCAGCTCACCGCTAGCACTCAGCAGAAGTGAAATAAGGTCATACATAGACCTAGTTACTGGACACCGTCCCTTGAGATATCATCTCAACAAAATCGGGGTAGCATGTCGCCTCTACGTCGAGGAGGAAGAGACAGTGGACGCATCATCTGCTGGTGTGAGGCTGTCACCGGACAGAGATTGCAACAGCACCTCAGCAGATCAGGGACTTGCAGCCGGAGAGGATTCTCAGATTGTTTAAAAAACTGACTCTCTCGGAGTAAGATACTGGGGCACGCACAAAAGATCAAACGGTCAAAGTCCGTAGGCGTAGTATAGCCCATTCGGGGAAAAAAACGTTAAAGCTGTTGCTTTCAGATTCAAAACTTCAAGAATCAAGAAGTTTGTTACATTCAAAATTTAACACGTTTCAAATTTAATTCGAGAATTCAAGGTTGATAAGCCTGTGTTTCAGGACAAATTTCACAATTCAAGCGTTAAGTTGAAAACTCCAGGATTTCAAACCTCGATTCAAGAGAATGTTTGAAAATTCTAACTTCCAGATTAAGAGTCAAGCTTATTGAAGTGTCATGACTTAAGATCGAGATTTGAAAATTCATGTTTCAAGTTTTAACTGCCCATTTTAATACCCACACTTAAAATTGCAATTAGAGACTCACTTCAAGTATCGAAATATAAAAAATTCAATTGACGATTGATTAGTATAATACAACCCCGAGGTTACTTACAATGCTTTCTAGGCTGCATATCCTGGAGCATCGTCACCTTACCTGTGTAACATAGTACATTATTTGCTTATTATTTTTTCTGATAACTTGATTTCCTCGATACATAAGCAACGGTTTAGCACAGTTGTGAATCAGGAAATCTACGCCTTCCGCGCCGAAATCTGCATGAATTAAGATTAGTCGGTGGTTAATAAGCGTCAGCCCCGTAACAATTAGGGCAGTTAGCAGGTACAAGCGTCCCACGGAGCCGGCGAATGGGTGTTTCTAACAACGGTTTTAAATTCATGTAGCAAAACCGTCTTATTAAATACGCAAATGAGGTGGTGGGTTCGCTTCCGGAACATGGGTCACCTTTCGTCCTTTTAGTCCTCTTGATGAACGACTAAAGAAATAAAAGGGTTATAAATGAAAGGCAGACTGGTAGCGATGTGAGCTTGCATATATTAGACGCGTATGCAAATAAGGGCTCTGTCTTGCACTACAGGGTACGTATATGCAGATCACATTAATGCGCGCCCATTGCGACGTCTGTACCGAGAGGGTTGGCGGGGAACCAGTTGCGCCATGTGTAAGCAAGAACAAAAAGCGACAAAAAAAAACTGACAAAAACAACGTACATTTTACGGACGTCCCATAAATGTGGCCCGGTGCCCCAGTGCTGTTTGTGCAGTGGCCGCGAGAGTTTTATTTCAGCGGGTTCTTCAGCTGGCCGTTGGTCAATGACGATCGGCAGCTGGATACGCCGCCGCACTAACCAAAACGTGACGATTGTAACCTATACATATACACTTTCTAGCGATATTTCCTGCTGTGTATGTGTAACCGTATGTAAATCGATGTGAACTTAATGATATTATAATTACGAGCCGAGGTGATTAATTACACCTGGACGTCGTCGTGACGGGCGCCCAACAACTTTAAATTACCTGGTATGTGAGAAGGCATCATCGGTGACTGTAATTTGTAATAAATTCTGTACCAATTAGCGTTTGTGCTTATCGCGCCTCCAAATGCAAACCATTTACATGAAATTTCAATACATCCACTTGGACACCATAGAGTTAACCGGCAGTGGTCACGATTACCTTAACCCCTCCAAAATTAGCGATCAATCTTCTGAGCCAAAAATAGTACAGCTATTTCCAGTTTCGTGTTAAATCGATAAGATGGGATGAAAACTTATTTCGACCTTATTCAATTTTAAAATGTTTCCCATGTTGGAATCTGAAGAGATTTTCCAGTTCGCCGAGTCTCTTGAAGTGACATCTTTCCAATTTATAACTGATTGGAGTCCACGAGCTTATGAAGTTGTTCCTACTCTAACTCTTAAATATGTTCGCGCACTGATGGAATAGGTAATTTTAGTTTGGTTTTAATTTCTTTAAAATATTGATGTGTTTTTTGTCAATTTGAACGCGGAATTTCTGATAATTCTTATGAAATCATCACCATGATTTAGAATTTATACGATCACACTATATAAACTACATGTAAATGGTCCAATGATGGATCTCTTGAGAATTAACCATCTGTACATATTGTCAGTGGTAATGTGTAAGACTTTCCCTTCCCTAAAGAAATATCAAAAAATCTCATTCACTAAATCGCAATGCC